ACCAAGCAGCAGCAGACCAGCAAGCAACTGCAGCAGACCACCAAGCAACAGGAGACCACCCAGCAGCAGCAGCAGCAGCAGCAGACCACCCAGCAGCAGCAGCAGCAGCAAACCACACAGCAACAGCAGCAGCAGCAGCAAACCACACAGCAGCAGCAGCAGCAGCAGCAGACCAGCCAGCAGCAGCGGCAAACCAAGATTTTGACGCTAGGCATGAGATACCTCCAAATCAGTTCAACACGAGTTCAAAATGTGGCTATCGTTGTGCACCACTTTCGCGCCGAATTCTATTCTACTTGGCCACCTCAAAAAAGAAGCAGCCGCAGCAGCAGCAGACCACCCAGCAGCAGCAGCAGACCACCCAGCAGCAGCAGACCGCAGCAGACCACCCAGCAGCAGCAGCAGACCACCCAGCAGCAGCAGCAGACCACCCAGCAGCCGCAGCAGAACACCAAGCAGCTGCAGCAGACCACCAACCAGCAGCAGCACACCACCCAGCAGCTTGCATCCTTACCCCTCGTACACCACTAGTTCCGATGTGGAGTCAGGTAGCGTCATTTGGCTCTTGTGCGCTCGGACTATCGGCACTCAAAGGTTGACAAAAGCTGCTTTAGAGCGCACGTGGAGTCCAAGTGCTCCCACAGCGCACAGCCGGAGGGAATGAACCGGGGGGGAGGTGCAGCCAAGGCGGCAGCAAACCGCCCAGCAGCAGAAGGAGCAAATCCAGCAGCAGCAGCGGCGGCGGCGGTAGCCGCAGCAGACCACCCAGCAGGATCAGCAGCAACCCCAGAAGCAGCAGCAGCAGCAGCAGCTGCGGCAGCGTCAGCAGCAAACACAACAGCAGCAGCCGCAGCAGAAAACCGAGTAGCAGCCACAGCAGCGGCAGCAGCAGCAAACGAGCACACCAGGCAGCAGCAGCAGCAGGAGCAAACGAGCACACCAGGCAGCAGCAGCTACAGCAGCAGCAACTGCAATAATTTTTTCCACCCGCTCACCGCGCGCAGGGGGGAGTTGAACCTCCGGAGAGGGGGGGTCCACAAGATTGATTTAATCAATTATTTGAGGTTTCTGAGGCGCGTCCACCCCATCATTTAACTTGCTAAAGCAAGAGCAACCTCAGCTAGCTAAGGCTAGCTTTCTTGATTACAACGAACCCAAACAGGGTTTCTGAAACAACCCACGATAGGTATGGACATGGGTGGTCATAGATGCATTGTTTCATATACAGGTGGAGGCGTGAGTGTCGTCAGCCTCCAAGGCAAGTTGGAAGCGTTGTACGACCCACGCTCGGAAGCTTTGGGTCCGTACTTGCTTCGTATGGGTCGAGTGATCAGCGCTCTGAGCACCTCGGGACAGGCTGCGCCAGACGGAGCGTTAGAGGTGCTCACTCGAAAGACAGAGCTGATCCGCAGAGTTCGGAGAGTTGGACCGGCCTAGGGCAGTGCGGTATTTGCGTGATAAGTTCATGGCTTTGTCCGTTGACGAGGCTATATGGAGCCGCAAGAGAAAGAAGGAACGATCATCGCTCTCGGAGAGT